CTCCGCTCCGCTCCGCTCGGCTCCGCTCGGCTCCGCTCCCCCGTCTCGTCGGTTATTTCGGGATCTTCACAGGAAGCGATTAGGTTGCCATGGAGAGAGGTGTCTCCAAGGGACCCGTCGCTCCAGCTCGCTCCGGCGAATGCCACCCCCGGACGGGTCCTTCCTTGGGGGCGGAGGCCCCCCGGGATCCCCCTCCCCCGGGCCGCCCCCYGGGGCTCACCCCCGCCGCCCCTCGCCTTTCCGCCCCCCAGCAGTGCCCTCGGGGAGATGCCACTCTCCGGTCCCGCCCCCCGTTCCCGCATCCATCATCCCCGGGCTTCGGGTCCCCGGTCCCCCTTGGCTGCCGCGGTAACGGGCGGGGGAGCGGCAGACGGGCGGCCCCGGCGAGGCGCACCCCCGGCGTGGCAGGCGGCGGGGTCGGTCGAGCCTCACGGGCAGAGCCCGTGGGACACACGGGTGAGGTAGGAGCAATGGGGAAGGGGGGCAGGCGGGGGATCCGTCCAAGCTGTGTTTTACCCGTTGAGGGATCACTCAGGTCTTTTGAGCGTGTCCCCAAGCGCGTTTCTGCCAGGGATCGATGGGATGCATCTGGAAATGGTAGGGATGTGACAGCAAAATTAAGGAAGAAGCTGATGTGCCTTTGAGGGGCTGAGTGTTTCACAGGGAACATCTCCCTCCACCATCAAGAACCAAACAGAAAGCACAGACCAAATCAGAAGGGAGCAGCTGAGCAACCAACGGGCAAGAGAAGAAAGTCAATGACAGAGAGACAGTTTCCACTCCAGGGCCTGAAATATGAGGAAGCAAGAAAGTAATTTCCTCAGATCCTCAAAAACAATCAAACTTTTCATCATAAAGCGATGAGGGAAGACTGTGGCTGACCCTGGGAAAAAAAAATACTAGAAAGAAATAGTAAAGACAGCACTGAGCTATAAAACAACCTGCCACTGCATCAGGGATGGACGCAGGTGACAAACAGACAGGACCAAACCTGAGCACGGCAGGATGCCCAGAACAGGTTGTGCCCACTTCGGACAGATATCTGAAGGGGCTGAGTCTGTTGTTTTTCACGAGGCCTCCTGTGAGCTCCTGCGCTAATGAACCAGGCTGCTCTGGGCTTTCCTACGCCAGAATGTTTGAGTCTTGCATGTGTATTTGTGAGCTRGTTTGGGAGAGTCAACAGGTTTTTCACATGTTTGGGAGGGATGTCAGTGTGTGTTTGGATGTATCAACACGGGGATTTGGTTGTGTTAAGGCTTACTGACACTGGGAGGTCGGGGTGGGGAGGATGGCACCGCTGGCAGTGGTGTCACGGCTGAGTTTCGTGTGAGATGCTGCACATGGCAACCCCTCCAGCTTTTGTCCCCTTCATGTATGTGGGGTTTATGTCAGAGATTATCCAGACTCCTGTCACATTCTCCAGCCTTTTTATTTCTGGCTCTCACAGGACTTGTACAAATCATCTGCACAAATCTTGCTCAGTGATCCCTTACACTCTCATCCCAAGAAACTCCCTGTACAGACATGGTGGAGCAGCACAAGTCGGCGTTCAGCTTGTCTTGCTCTCTGCACTTCTTTTCCTGCTTTCTCACCTGGGAGKAGCAGAGGGTAGAAAGCTCTGGAAGGGGCTACATCAGGCACACAGGCTCTCTCTGACCTTTTCAAATCCTGACGAATGTGTTTAGTATAATTGGGAAGCACAAAACAGAGGAGAAATTTCAACCAGGGAAAGGTCAGCTAAAGGGTGAAAATCCAAATGACGCAAACACTGAAAATCCCCCTGAAGAGTAAAACTACATAAGGCAGCAAAAGGAGTCAGAAATATATGAGGACGAGGAGCAGGATTTTGTAGGGACCAAGGAATCCTTGGGACATGTGGTGGGGGGAGCCAGGAAAACCATCCAGATGATGGGAACACAGAGCTCAAGGGCTGATGTCACTTATACCTGACTCTTACGTGACACAAATGGAATGGCTTGTTTGGTCTCCTTTTCAAAGGAAAGCTAATGTAGAATTACATGGAAATTTGAGGGGAGAGATGGAGTCAGGTGTTACTGGCTGTTATTTCTGTCTGGCAGTGATCACGTACAGATCATTTACACCCAGGAGTCCTGAGGCCAAGCAGGCCACTGCTGCTGCTTTTAGCATTGTTTCCTAAGGGGAGGAACACCTATGTTGTTGCCTTGCTACCTGCAGAACCTTGTCTGTCTGTCTGTTAGTTGCCATGGATTTGACAAAATAACCAGAGTCTGAAAGGTAAATAAGCTCCAACAAATTGTATGAAAACCAGCAGCCTGACAGAGGAAAGAGATGCTTCCAATGCCTGTGCAGGAACAGAGCCTGTTCATGTTGCTGGACAAAACCCCACAGGTTAGAGCAGTCCATCCAGCTGGCCAAAAGAATTAAGCAGAAAATGTTGGGAAAGCTGTGTTATGTTAGAAACATAACAAAAAGCTATGTTAAAAAAGCTATGTAATTTTGGAGAGTTGTGGAGGAGCCCAGTGATGTAGACTGTAGGAGAAAGTGCCCCTCACAGAAGTCACAAGCTGTGGAAAGGGTACCATTAAGAGACCCCAGCTGAAGATATGGTAGTGGAAAGTACAGAATATACAGGAAAAATGTCCACCGAGAACCCAGTTTCCTCCGCCCTGTTGCTCACCAAACAAGGGGTTAATAAGCTTTGGAATATCAGAGACATCCCAGAAGACTGGAAGAGAGCTGTGCCCTGTGAATATTTGTAAAGAGCAAACAGAAGACCTGAAAAATTCTAGGCAAAGCAACAAAGAGCTGATATGAGATTCTCCAGTTAATGCCAATCAGCCTGGTTTGGAGGAAACTGATCTTGCTGCATAAACTTGTTTTGTTCTTGTCGGTCTTTGATGTGACTACAGGTTTGTTTGGAAAAGGTGATGGCTTAGATCTATCCAGGCTTCTGGAAGTGTTAATTTCCCGAAGCATGCTGATAAGAAAAAAAAAAAGCATTATGCAACATTTACAGAGCAGGAGATTAAGTGAGCTGGTTAACTCCATTTAACGCCCTGTAAACACAAAGGAGGTCATCCCTGGAAGCCCACCATTGAGTGGCAGTGTTTCTTACGTGGATGCCCAGGAACGAGTCCCGGGTCAGGTATGACTCACCATTTTATTCAGTGCTTGGTGAGCAGATATAGTTCATTCTGACACAATTTACTGTGGGCACAAATATTGTTAGAGTGTTAAAAATAATGATGATAGGACCAGGACAGAGTGACCTGTCCCTCTCAGTTAGGTGGTCATTCTCATAAAACTTCTTATAAGACTGTTGAGACCAAATTGTACAGCCATGAACGGGAAAAAAATGTTCATGTCTACAGGGAACAACTCCCAGTCCTGAAAAGAGGTGCTTTAAAAAAGATGTAGGAATCATAACAGGCAGAAAACTGAACAAAAATTTAGTGGTCCAGGCTGCAGCAATGGATCTGAAGTGATCCCTGGCTCTGTAAAGACAGAAATGAGGATGGGAAGCAACGAGATGATTAAACCTCTCTATGTGTCTGAGTAAGTCTCATGCTGGAAAACTGTACAGTGCTTTATGCTCCATATTTTAAAAATAACTTCAAATCAAAGGTGATCCGAAGGCTGGAGATCTCAGTAATTTAAAGAGGTCAACCTGTTTAATATATCAAAAAGCAGAAGGAGACATGACTTGCTTGCAATATCACTCCTTTCCTAGAGAAAAGTCTACCAAGTATTCTGGTAGAGAATAACAAGAGCCAGTCGCTGGAGAGTGATTAATCACAGAAACAAACTACCAAGTGAAGTGCAAGATCCTCTCTCTTCTGGAGTCTTTGAATCACAACCGGAGGCCTGTCTGGAAGATGCTTCCTGGTCTGCAAAATCCTGAGGGCTGAGAGCAGAACAGGGGAAGAATTACCATGCAGTTACCCTCAAGCACTGATACTGGGCTGACTTTTGGTGTAACCCCTGTGTGCATTAGCCCAGTACAAGCTAAAGGGTTAAAAACCTTCTGGATCATGTTGATATCCAAGAGAATTGCTCCAGCCTCCTTTGTCCTTACAGTGTTGTTGTGTTGGAGTCTGTGTTACACACAGTTGTGAAAAATCGTCTCGTGAGATGTGACTCTGCTATGTTTGGAGAAGGTCTGGTGAAAAAAGTATCTTCGGCTTTTTGACAAGTTATTTGGATTCTGTGGTGGTGAAGAAAGGAACAACCCAGAATGAGCCCGTACAGCTCTATAGCTTTAAAGTGGGACAGTGAGCACAGAGGAAAGAAAGTGGATCTATAGCACAAAGAGAATGGAGGTTTTTCTCTGCGAAGATCAGAGCGAGATCAGAAGGGAGGGATGATGCTAGGGGGTGGTTAAAGCTAGGATCAGAAATCCCAAACGTTCAGAAATAACAACACAGAACGTCTCCATGTCACAAGATTTATCTTAAAATTATGAGATGTCGTACAGACTTGCTTTCATCTGCACTCTTCGCCTCCTCCTTTTGGCTCTTTTGGTTACATGAAAATCACATTTCACAGTTTTCCTGTGACCATAAAGATAGGTGTTTGCTTTGTGAGGACAGCGAAAGCTCGAAAGTTACTGAATCCAGGAGGCTGGAATTTAATTTTGGCAACCAGCACCCTGATTTAGGGGTGAGGG